ATTGCCTCTTCAAAACCTTGGTGCGTCTTATACTCCGGTTCATCTTATATTCTGAAAAATATGGTAAATAGTTCTGCTTTCTCCCTGTTGCTTATCACCTTCTTGCCACTTTCTCCCAGCAATGGATCAATTGTTTCCTTAACCTTTTTCTTGTTTTTAACATGTTGGAAGAAGCTTTCTTTTGTTATTTTTTACCTTTGTAGCAAGACTTTCTTCATTGTGAGCCTTAGCTTTCCTCTCTTCATATTTACAGGCTTGGGCTATTTGCGGATATTCTGCCTTAGTTAGGTCCCCCTCTTTCCACTTTTTATACTTATCTTTTTTGTCTTTCAATTTATCAGAGAGTTCTTTATGCAGCCATGCTGGTTTCTTTCGGGAGCTGTTATTTTTCTTCATTTGGGTGCTGCTTTTTTTTTTCTTTTCCTAATCTTGTTCTGGTTTCTCTGATGAAAAACAAAGAGAGGGTGAGGAATTCCGAGTTCCAATTAAAAAAAAGTTTTTATTTGGCTCAGCATATTTTAAAAAGTGCAGTCCTTTTTTATTAGAATGACTTGCAACTTATGTATAACAATATTTCTAAAAATGTTCAGTGTTCTTCGTGTATATTCAAAATAAGTCAGTAAAGGTCTAAAACAGAATAGCCTGATGTTACAAATGCAAATCATTTGTAGGGAAAAGGAATTATATATCTGTTTGCTGAATTTAGCTATTAAAGATAGGAATGTTGCTGTAACAAGTACAAGAACAGTTATCTACAAGTAACACAGAGATTCTTAGAACATGTAGCAAGCATTTATTATTATTGTGAATAAGAAAAGACTCCACAAACAAAATTAAGCACAGGATTGTTTTAACTTCTGGAATGTCCATGGGTTTAATTGATTGGTGTACTCTATAAAACTGACTGATGTTGATAGCAGTTGTGGCAATTTCTAGTGCAAAGGAGAGCAATGAACTATAAGGGCAAACTTTTAAAGAGGAATATGTTTAAATAAAAAGGTTACTGAATGTTTTCCTTCTGTAGTTAGGATTGTTCAGTACTAAAATCTATTTGTTATTTTTTAAAAGTAACTCTGTCATATAAGGTCAGTAGGGTTTCATTGCCCCAAAGCATGAATATTAGTGCATTTTTCCCTAGAAGGGCTCCCATTTTGTATTTTTTATGATGCCGAAACCATCTTTAATTTTGGTCTTGAAAACTCTAGTTGTTTTGTCCATACAAGGTTCAGGACGAGGGCACTGAATGACATACACTATGTGAGCTGGAACTTGTAGCAAGTATAAGTCAAATAATAAAATGCATTGAAAAGGTTGTTTTCTGCGTGCTTACAAAATAAGGAGAATTCTTGTTTACACAACATGGTCATTGCAGGACTTGCTGCTTCTTGGGGATATTTTCCTTGTGGTGAGGATACCCCTCCCCATCTTTTTCATCCTTTGAACTGATAAAGAAACTCCGCAAGGGATCACTAAATATGCTAACCTTGCCTGTTAGTTGGTTTCGTATAAACAAGATTTTTCATGCTGGTTCACAGAAGTTCATAGAAACAGGCTGAAGGGTAGATTTTAATGGTGACCAGTAAATTACCCAAACTAAATTAAACTAAAGCTCTGTGATAGTAAAAACAATTTTATAACCACAACTACTACAAGCAGAACATTTTTTTTACTGCACTGATAAAGCACCAAGGAAGACTAAAGAAGAAAAAAAGGATATTAGGAACTATGGTAATGCAGTGGTTAGAATGCAATATTGCAGGCTGACTCTGCTTGCTGACTGCCAGCAATTTGATCTTGACAGGAATCAAGGTTGACTTAGCCCTTCCATCCATCCAAAGTCAGTAAAATGAGGACCCCAATTGTTGGGGGCAATATGTTGATCTGTAAACTGCTTAAAGAGAGCTGTAAATCCCTGTAAAATGGTATTTGTGTCTTGGTGTTATTGCTGTTGTTGAAAAGCTACATATTTATTTTACTTACTAAATATGGATTTGAATTTGGATCATTTCAGAAAGAAAAAAATCTGCACTCAAGGGAAATTTATTAATATAAGGTGTGTTAGATCATCCCTAAGTGAAGAACCTTTTTCAAATCTAATTGCTTTTTTAATGCATGTTCTTGACAGCATAAATGGAGTCCATATGTGAGAGATTCGTTAGCATATTCCAGAGTATAAAAATTTACTTTGATGAGAAGGACTGTGTTACAGAAACAAAGCATGGAATATTGGTGAACCTGTACATTTTATTTTTCATGCTTACTTAAAAATGCAAACTTAAAAAACATAGTAGCCTTTTTATAAAGTTCTAGTATTCATTGCTCTTGCTTTCAGTTTTTCCATCATATTGTAATATGGAGTAATAGGTTTTTATTTTATTTTCAGGATGTGGCTTAAACTATCACAAGAGATGTGCATTTAAAATCCCTAATAACTGCAGTTGTGTCCGAAAGAGGCGATTATCAAATGTTTCATTAACAGGACTTGGTAATATCAGAACAATGTCTGCTGAACTTTCATCTACGCTTGCAGATGAAGGACTCCAGGTACGGAATGTCTAAATGTTGAAAATAGTAGGCTGAGTAATGAATGTATTTGAACATTTTTTTGTAGTGTAGATGGGCTTTTCACAAGTGTGTCCCAGCATAAATGCTTTTGGAATCCCATAACCAAACTCATTGTACAAACAGCACAACAGTTTCTACAAATGAGGGGGAGGGGATCTTAGTTGCCTCTTATTTCTTCAGTATGGTAGAATTTTCCAAACTTTTGTATCAAACTGTTCCAGTAAGATAAACATGTTTGGGATCAAAAACATTCCTTAGGTGGGTTGTTTTTTTGGGGTGGTGGTGGTGGTGGGTGGGTTAGTGGAACCTTTTGCTCCAATCTTCTACCATTCTTTTCTTTTGAACTTTGAAAAGTTACAGTAGTTCATTTCTGGTATTAAAGTTCAAACTGTAAATTACCCAAATATAATTTTATGGCTTTTTAAAAAATAGCAAAGAACATTGAATTTTGCATGAGCAGAATTTAATTTTCACAAAAGAATTTTCTTTCTTTTTTAATTAAAAAGAAGGAAAATGAGGAAGTCTGTGTTGCTAGCTGTGTTTACTTTGTTGGCAATCCTGAACTTGTTGATCAATTAATTTTATAGTATCTGCACGCATTTTAAAAATGAACAATTATGTAATGAGAATGCATGTATTAAATAATTTCATGCAAGTTTCAGTTTGTTACATTTTGTTCTAAACTTTATATTTACTTTCTAAATAATATTGCTCTACATTTTGTTTTTCCCTTTTTCTGAATGTGATCTTCATTTTCTAGATTCCTGCAAGCCCCAGTTTTGAGGTGGGTTTTTGTTTTCTGTCATATCAAAACATATCAGGAATTCAGCCTTTCTAGTTTTGTTGTAAATTTCATGTAAGACTACAGATCGATCATGATTGCTTAGTTCTATACAATTGAAAGTTGTAAGAATGATAATAGTATGATTAAAACATATATTCTCAGTGCAGAAATAAAACATTGAGAAATTCTCCTATAATTCGAGATGCATTATGCTGCACTACTTTAAGAACACAGTGGAAAAGGCATATTTTTGCCACGTATTAGCCAGAAATAGGGATATAGATAATGTATCAAGGCTTCATTATGCTGTATCATAACATAGCTAATGCCCAGGAGACAAGGCTTGTAATAGAAAATGTTGATATTTTAAGAGGTGGTTCATTGCAGCCTAATTCATCTAAAACTTTCATTTTCATTGTCAAATATTATTTTACGTATGCATTTATCAAACTGAAACAAAACTTGTTTCAATATAGCAAAGTGGCTTATACCTCAAGTGAATAGAATAGAATAGAATAGAATGGAATTCTTTATTGACCAAGTGTGATTGGACACACAAGGAATTTGGTGCATATGCTCTCATAAGGAGAATAAAATACATTCATAAAGAATAAAAAGATACAACACTTAGTGATAGTCAAAGTTACTAATAAGCTATTGAATCGTACTAGGAAGCAAGTAAAAACAATATAAATCGAAAGATGCAAGCAACATGGTTATAGTCATAAGTGGGGAGAGATAGATACTAGGAAGGAAGAAAAGAATAATAGTAGTAATACAGTCAGTAAATTATTGACAGTGTTGTGGGAATTAGTTGTTAAGCAGAGTGATGGCATTCAGGAAAAAAAACTGTCCTTGTGACTAGTTGTTCTGGTGTGGCATCGTATAGCATCGTTTTGAGGATAGAAGTTGAAACAATTTATGTCCAGGATGTGAGAGGTCTGTAGATTTTTTTCACACCTTGGAGAAAAGGGTTTAAAAGATTATACCCTTTTAGCTGAAAAAAGAGAAAAAATATTTTGTGATTAATGGGTTTGGAGATTAGGGTTTTTTATGGGAAGAAGGAAATTATGATGCAACGTTAGACAGAGATGGAAAAATTGTATCTATAATTGTTCTCAAGAAAATTGGAAGCCACTACTGTTTTCTTTTTTAACATTTTATTGTTTTCTTTATTTTTTTACTTTGTTAAAAATTGTTCAATAAAAATAGTTTTAAAAGCTTAAAGGAAGAAAATGCAATGCAAAAGAAAAAAG